GCGCCCCCTGCCCAGCCCTGCTCCTGCCAGCCGGTCCCCCCCATCCATCTCCTCCTCCCAGCCCCGCTCCCCCTAACTCCCTCCCAGTCGGCCGATTCTCCCCCACTTCTCCTTCTGATCTTCCCTGGCCAGCCCCACTACCCCCGTCCAGCTCTGCTTCCAGAGGCTGGTTCTCCCATCCTCCTCTCAATCTCCCCTGGCCAACCCTGCTTCCGCCGCCCGGCCTCCCCCCATCTCCGCCGGACAGCCTCACTGCCCCCAACCCTGCTTCCCAGTGGCTGGTTTCCCCCACACACACATCTCCTCCCAGCCCCTCCCGCCCCGCTCCCGCCAGCCACACTGAGCACTGCCCCCACCCCTGCTTCCCAGTGGCTGGTTTCCCCCACACACACATCTCCTCCCAGCCCATCCCGCCCCGCTCCCGTCAGCCACACTGAGGCCCGGTGAAACACATGGGGCTCCAAAGCAGGCGAAAGAGGGAGGGTAGTGGAGCACCCACAGGGACACATCTCAAAGAACCAACGTTACTACACAAGGTAACTCTTTCTTCTCCTTCGAGTGGTCCCCATGGGTGCTCCACTCTGGGTGACCACACAGAAGTTGTCGGCCCACAAACCCACGGTTTGGAGCCGTATGGTAGTCATTGTGGATAATTCTGCCTGCCCCACCGCCACAGAAGATGCAATTGAAGAGGTGAGAGCGTAACGTTGTGCGAATGTGTGGTCAGATCACCAAGTGGCGGCATTACAGATGTCTTGAAGAGGGACGTTGCTGAGGAAGGCAGTTGTAGAAGACATGGCCCTGGTGGAATGTGCTGTAATGGTTTCAGGTAAGTCTGTTACATAATGTACAACATGTTCAAATACAGGAGGAGATCCATTTCAAGATCCTCTGAGATGAGACTGCTTGTCCCCTGAATTGTTCTGCATAGGACAAAAACAGCCTAGGGGAGACTCTCCAGGCTCTGGTGCAGTCCACGTAAAACACAAGTGCTCTGCGGATGTCAAGTATGCGCCATGCGGCCTGCACTGGATTAGCATGCGACTTAGGAAAAAAGGCAGGTAAGTGTATGGGTTCATTGATGTGGAAGGGAGAAGGGACTTTGGGGAGGAACTTCGGGTGGGGTCAGAGTATCACTCTGTCTTTGAACACTGTGTAGGGGGGTTCAGCCATCAATGTGGCGAGTTTGCTCACCCTCCTAGTGGAAGTTATTGCCACCAGGAAGAACATTTTCATCGAAAGATGAGACCAAGAGCAGGTGGCTAGTGGTTCAAAGGGTGGCTTTGTCAAGCTCTTGAGAATGTGGTTCAGATCCCAGACAGGAACAGGAGGGTGGATGGGTGGGAAAGTGTTCTGTAGACCCTTAAGGAACCTTTTTGTTATCAGGTTTGCGAGGAAGGAAACCCCTTCATCGGCGTAGTGGAAAGCTGCTATGGCAGCAGCATGAACTTTCATGGTGCTAAGAGCAAGGCCTGACTGTTTCAGGGATAATAGGTAGTCCAACAGGATGGGGAGGGGAGCAGATTCCGAACATGTCGTGTGTGAGTGTTTAAACCAGTGAGAAAATCTATTCCATTTATAGAGGTATGTTCTCCTGGTGGATTGTCTTCTGTCATCTCTTTCAGTGGTTCTGAACAGGTATTTTCGGCATCCTGGAGCCAGGTGTGAAGATGAAGCTTGTGGAGTTCTGGATGGAGATTCCTCCCATAGTTCTGTGATAGGTCGTGATGGAGCAGGAAGGCATACGGGTCTACTATCACCATCTTGTGAAGGTAAGGATACCAAATCTATCTGGGCCACGCTTGTGCCACTAGTATCACCAGAGCTTGGTCTGTCCTGATCTTGTTGAGGACCTTGTGTAGGAGGAAAAAGGGAGGGCAGGATTAGAGGAGAGGAGCATCCCACCCGATAGAAAAGGCATCGCCGAGGGAGTGCTTCCCTAAGGCTACTCTGAAGCAATAGGTGACACTTCCATGAGAAATGGGCATAGCATCACGACACGTCTCACACCTCTTAAAGCCGGAAGAGCCCAGCATGAGGTGTGGGGGAGAAAAGCGGCAAGCCACAATAAAAAACTTTTTTTTTATCTTTTGACTAGGGTGGATAGTGGGGTTCAAATAACTTGGATAATAAGGTAACTGGGGGGATTAACAGGGTATTTCTCTAAGTTATTTTTATTTTACAAAGTTCTTGAGAGGAAAAGAGGCTCCCGTCTGTTGCCGAGGATGGTAGAGAAGGAACTGAGGAGCTGTGCCGCGTGTGTGCCTAACAGATTCCAACGGCACAAGAGGGTGCTATGGCATGTGCGCGGCACAGTGGAAACTGCTGGAAAAGTTTTTGGTCGCTGGCGCAAGAACGCACCAGCACCCAGAGTGGAGCACCCACAGGGACCACTCGAAGGAGAAACAAACAATACTAAATCACATCTAAGAATTTCCAAGTTTCATAAAAGCTACGAAGATACTTCCTAGTATGTATAAGAGAGATCCCTTAAAGGATAATACTTAAAACAGCCTTCCAAATAGCGATCAATGAAGAGGCTATGAAACAGACCAAATAGTAGAAATCGGAAAGCAGTAATCAAAGTTGGGTTATAGTATACAGAAAATAGAGCTGAAGCTATTCCTTTCCTATCCCTCTTCCTTCAAAAATATGTTAATAATGAAGATGAAATACCAAAAATCTCTGGGAGTTTATGCCAAATGCCATACTTGAAAATACGTATAAAGTAATCCTTTTTAAATACTTGTGAGAAACTAGCATAGGATGGAGGGAGATATTTACTTCTGTGTGATAATAGAGGTAACATAGCACACTGAAAGAAGACTGATGATGACATTTTCAAAAGCAGCTGAGTGATTTAGTGGCTTAAAGCCCATTAAAAGTCAATAGACACTTTTGAGACTTTTGTCCTAATCTCAAAAATATGCTAAATCAATGAGAATATTCTTGTATTCCCAAAGTTACTCTATATTACATTATTTGGTTTTTATTTGTTCTTTGTATGAGCAACCTGAAAATATACAATCAGTTTAGAATCTGAAACCCAGAACAACACTAATTAATCTCTAATTTAACTATTTGCACTTAGGTTCTTTGAGATCAAATACCAGAGTGAACAATGAGGTATATATTTATGTAACCTTTTTGTCGCAATACTTACTAGGGACTGACTATTCCTTTATAGCTTTAGCCTGCAAGTGCAGAGTGCCTTCTTTGAAATGAGAGTTGAGAGCACTCAGAACCTCATATGACTGGGGTCTTTGAAGGAAATATTCATCTACAACAAAACATAAATTCTTATTTTAAGACAGAAGTCCTTTCTTAGCAAGTCTACTAACCAGGCACTAAATTAAGGACAATTTTTGGTATATAAATGTTTGAAGGTTCCTTCTACTATCTCTCCCCAGATGCAACTACAATGAATCCTTGTTACTTTACAGAATGATATATGATGAATAGTGGTGCACTGAAAATATCACAAATTAAACCTATTTCTAGTGACCTGATGTTCTGAGCACTCAAATCTCATGTAAGTCAATAGGGTGTGAAAAATCAGACTGTTAATGCTTGTCTCTATATTATAACTAACAGAATTATGATCAGAGTTTACATTTTTGGTAGAATGTGTAAGCTAACCTGCCATCATAATCACTTTTGTAGTGTCTCCAAATTTTTTTAATTAAAAATGTATACTAAATGTTTAATAAACTATGGAAGCTGTTGGACAATATCAGAATAAAGTTCATGATCATAGAATCATAGGGTTGGATAAACACACTTTGGAACAATTTATACAAAGAAGTAAATAAATAATTTTCACTTCAGTCTCATTAAGAAGTAAGTAATACTTCACACCACAGTATCATCCTATCTAGATAATATAAACTTATCCTTTATTGCATCATAATTTTAAGATAAAATTTAAAGATTAAGTAAAATATGTAAAGAAACAGAATAATTAGATTTACTTCCTTTAATATTGAACAACCAAAGTTTCTCTTTTGTACATAATCCATTTTAAGATAATATAATTAGCACTTCCAGCGTTAATAGTCTTTATTTACAATGAATGAGATAGGTACGGAATCTACATGAGAAGACTCTTTAAATCTGTATGAAATGAAAACCAAATGCAAAGTTTTACTGTAGGCTCAGCTCCATGAATGACTCTTCTATTTATGGGAAGCAATTAAAAAGGCTTTACTTTCTTTATTACCTGTAAAGGTTCCTGAAATGATTTTGAAATAATGTTTTACATGTTTGAAATCTTCAAAGATGCCTTCATTATTTTGTACATTATATTAAAAATTCATTCTGATACTTCTACATCAGCTTTTGCTTTTTTGTAGTATGGGTGAAATCTAAGAAAAAAGAAAATGAGGAAATTTACTGTGTAATCCTATTTTCATGTTCCTGGATATACAATGAATTGAGAAGATGGTGCTGGTCTATTCCACGGATCATGTATGCAAAAGTTATGCGGTTGTAAAACATTCTTCACTCTTCCATAAAATGTGTACAGAGTAAGAATAAGCAGAAAAAGTCAAAGTTTTTATGGATTGCAGCTGGCATGGACCTTTGTTGATTGAAAATAAAATATAATTCATTCTATTGTTCTTGTAGCACTGTTCGAAGTTAATCATCAATCCCTGGAGTTTCACCCTGTTGTATTCTGGAGGCTATTCTGATGGCTTCTTCCAAAGACTGCTGCTCTCCAAGCTGAAACAATTATGAATGAAAAAGATAAATTGATCAAAAATGTTGCATTAGATCACGGTTTCCTTATGGGAGAAAGGAGGAAAAGCAAAAAACTACACCAATCAATACTCATTGCTGCAGTAATTGTGATAGCTATTATTGTCACATTTTCTGAATAATATATACTAGGAGTTATCTAATCAGTTATCAAAATGAAAATACCTCCAAAGAATTAAGCTCAGTTTACTGAACGGCCTTCAGAGTGTTGGTGCAGCACAAACAAATTTCATCATATGCATTAGAGATAGTCTTTCAACTTGGCAAATATTAAAAGAAACTGTTAAGATAAGGTTTTCAGCAATAGAGACAGGTGCTAAATAATGACCTATTAATACTCACAAACCAAAATGTCTGATACCACTTTTAAGTTTTCTGCATGTAAGCATCACTTTGGGAACAATGGCATTATTTTTAAAATGAAAATGGCAACATTGAAGTTGATAGAATCATAGAGTTAGAAAATAATGATGACAGTGTTCAACACTGCATCAGTTTATAAGAAAGAAGACTCTTGTGGCATCACCTTCAATACTTGTATCACTGTTAGAAGCCATTCCATCAAACTCCGATTTTTGTTGCTGGCAATGGGTTTCAAAGTATTCCATTTCACACACATGCAATGTGTATATCCAGTGAACTCAGTGCTGAAAAAAGTATCTTTAAATTGTACCTGCCCATTAACTGTTGCTAAGTTGCAGAAAGGGTGAAGAAACAAAAGAGAATACATGACAGATGACTAGATCTGGGAGGATAGTTCCCAAGTCCAGGTAAATAAGGTTGTATAGTGAAATTCAGGTACTACCTCAGTCATAGAATCCTAGGGCTAGAAGAGACTTCAGGAGGAGTCCCTCTACCCAAAACAGGACCAACCCCAACTAAATCATCCCAGCTAGGGCTTTGTCAAGCCAAGACTTAAAAATCTCTAGGGATGGAGATTCCACCCCCTCCCTAGGTAACCCATTCCAGCGCTTCACCACGTTCCTAGGGAAATAGATTTTCCTAATATCCAACCTAGACCTCTCCCATTACAACTTGAGATCACTGCTCCTCGTTCTGTCTTCTGTCACCACTGAGAACAGCCTCTCTCTATCCTCTTCGGAACTTCCCTTCAGGAAGCTGAAGGCTGCTATCAAATCCCCCCTCACTCTTCTCTTCTGCAGACTAAATAAGCCCAAATCCCACAGCCTTTCCTCATAGGTCATGTGCTCCAGCCCCCTAATTATTTCAGTCAATGAGAACTTTGGCATTAATTCTAACAGGACCAGGATTTCACCCTGGAATATTTACAAATCAGGAGAACCCATTTATAAGTATAAAGGGATCGTGGAGAAATCGTTTTAAAGAAGTAAATATAAAATTGTCTACCTCTGCTATTTTGATATATATTTGAAGTTTTTATTAATGTACATTTTCCTCTTTATCTAAAAACTATTAGAAATTATTATGCATTACTGATAAAGGCTATGAAATATAGTGAAAATAAGATATTCAGAAAGAACATGATACAACAGAAGAAATAAATGAATCTGCCCATAAAAAGGCCAGTAAATAAGTACTGTTAGGGTACGCCTAGACTGCAGGTTTTTGTCGTCAGAAGTTTTGTTGACAGATACTATCGACAAAGCTTCTGTTGACAAAGAGCGTCTAGACTACATCCAGTTCTGTAGACAAAGCAAACCACTTTGTCGACATGACAGTGTAGACGCAAAGGACAGTGCAGATGCAATAATGCCTTCTGTCGACAGAACTCTGTCGACAAAAGGCGTTATTCCTCGTAGAATGAGCTTTACAGCTGTCGACAAAACTGCTGAGTTCTGTTGATGTTGTGTCGACAGAACTCAGCGGCAGTGTAGACGCAGGTATAGTTTTGTCAACAAAAGTCCACTTTTGTCGACAAAACCCTGTAGTCTAGACACACCCGTAGAAGCCTGCAAAGCTGAAATGTCTGCCTTATAATATGATAAATTTTATTCTTCTCTATTAGCACATGATCAGTTTGTTACATGGTATGAGCTGACAAATGTATGTGCTCCTGAATCTAATTAACTTCTGAATACTGCAGATTCAAAATATTTATGCCATCCAATAAACATGATATTCAGAATGATTTTCACTGTATCCCAAATACTGGCAGTTTGGAATATCTGTGGACTATGTTGCTAAGCGACAGCGGAAGGCTGTTTATTCACTTTAATGTTCTTGATAAGCAGTTAAGGAAATCAGTATCCTTGGGCACTGTTTCAAGTTTCTGTGTAGAAAGAAAGAATACATTTTCAAGTGTAAAAGTGTTCAGATAATCTTGCCTTCTGCACACCTTCCCAGTACTAGAAATAGGAAAATGAACAAAAAATTTAGGAGATGAGAAGGTGGCTCACCTTGTGCAATATCTGAGGTTTTTCAAGATGGCTGTCCCTGTGGACGCACCACCTTAGGTGTTTGAGTGCCCTCCACCTCATGTCAGAGAATTATGATAGCAGTGCCCTTGGGAGGCTGCGCAAGTGGAACAGCCAGTTTGTGCTGTTTGGAGCACCTACAAACCATGCGCAGCCAACTGAACCTTCAGTTCCTTCTCTACCACAGAAAAAAACAAAATGCTCTGAAGCCGAGGGGAGGAAGGGCGGGTGGTGGAGCACCCACAGGGACAACCATGTTGAAATACCTCAGTTACTGCACAAGATGAGTAACCTTCTCTTCTTCAAGGAGTGTCCCTGTGGGTGCTCCAACTCAGGTGACTATGAAACAGTACTTGTGGTTGGAAGAGGGTGCTTCAGATTTTCCACCTGTGCAGACAGTATAGTATACAGTATAGCCCAAAATGTGCATCAAAGGTTGAGTATGTCTCTAAGGCATGGTGCTTGGTAAAGATATGCACAGAAGCCCAGGTGGCTGTTCTACAAATGTCAGTTGTAAGAACATGCTTCAGGAAGGTTGTAGAGGTAGCCATTGCTCTTGTGGAATGAGCCCGCACTGCAGTTGGAGGGTCTTGTATGATAAGAGAGCTGAATGCATTTGGAGATCCATTTGGATAATCTTTGCTTAAAGACTGTCAGGCATTGAGACCTATCACAGAAGACACAAAAAGCCTTGAAGATTTATGGAATGTCTTAGTTCTTTCAATATAAAATGCAATTGCTCTGCAGACAGCCAAGGTGTGTAGGGCTGTTTCCCTATTGTCTGCATGAGGCTTTGAGAAGAAAACAGGTAGGTATATTGGCTCATTACAGTGGAAGGAGTTAACCACTTTAAGGAGAAACTTGGGATGTGAACAAAGAACAACCTTGTCCTTATAAAACAAACAACTGTAAAATGAAGAAGCTTCAGGGCGTAGCCAAGTTTGTCTGTACAGGATAAACTGAAAAAACAACAAATGGTCTGGTAGCACTTTATAGACTAACACAACATGTAGATGGTATCATGAGCTTTCGTGGGCAAAGCCCACTTCTTCAGATGACCAGAGTTTTGAAGAAGTGGTCTGTGCCCACAAAAGCTCATGATACCATCTACATGTTTTGTTAGTGTATAAAGTGCTACCAGACTATTTATTGTTTTTTAAAGTTTATCCTGTAAAAGGAGGGTCTGCAATGAGGGCTCGCCACCAAAAATGCTACTTTCATGGATAAGTGTAATAATAAGCAGGTAGCCAAGAGTTCAAATGGCTTGCTTATAAGTTTCCTTAGAACCAAGTTGAGGTCCCATGTTGGAGCTGGATTTTTTTTTTTACAGGTGGGTGAGTATTTTGAATTCTTTTAATAAATATTTGATGTTGGGATGAGTGAAGACCGAATGGTCTTCACTGGGCAGATGAAATGTCATTATTGCATCCATATGTACTTTTAGGGAACTAAGTTTCAGAGGAATAAAAGATATGCAAGTACACAGGGAAGTGGAGCTGACGAGAGTGAGATGTGGTGATTGTCACATCATATGGCACATTTGTGCCATTGGTGCAAATATGTTTTTCTCATAGATGGCCTGAGGCAATTAAGGAGGATCTCCTGAACAGGTGTAGAGCAGGATATGTTGAGTGACATCAGCCAGCAAGAAACCACCATGAAATTCCAAAATCTGTGTGTTAGGGTGAGATAGGTGACCCTCATCCTCTGTGAGAAGGCGAGGGACACATGAAAAGTGCCACAGGGATGCTATTGTCATTTGAAGAATGGAACCAGATCTGTCTGGGCCAACTGGGTGCTACTAGAATGACTGTAGCTCTGACTTGTTTTATCATGAGCAGTAAATGATGGAGAAGTGGCAGCAGTGGAAAAGCAGATGAGAGAAGTGTGTCCCACTTGATTGTGAAGACAAACCGTAGAGACTGGGGACCTGGGCCTGCTTGGGAGCAGTAACGTGGGCATTTGGCTGCAAATAGGTCTTTTTTAGAGAACACCCACCTTTTGAATACTGGGGTAGCATTTTGAGGTTGAGGTCCCAATCATGATTTTGGGCACAATGCCTGCTGAGATTGTCCACTGTGACATTGTCTTTGCCTGGTAAATATGTGGCTCTCAAGTGTATGTTGTTGGGAATGCACTACTTCCATAGTTGAACTGCTTCTGAGCATTAAGTAAGAGTGGACCCCGCTCTGACAGTTTATGGAATACATTGTCATGAGATTGTCTGTACCATTTGCATCATGAATGATTTACATCATTCTGTTCTGAATCAAGGGTAGGAAGTGCTGACATGCTTGTTCTGTCTAGTGGTAGGATGATCCTTTCAAGACACAATTGCCCAGATTAGGAATTATCATATTCCCCTATCTGTGAAGGTGTGCTGCTACCACTGCAAGGACCTTAGAAAAGACCCAAGGAGGCTGTGAAAGGTCTGAAAGGAAGGGCCCTTTCCTGGAAGTAGCAGTTGCGTACGTCAAACCAGAGATATCGTCTGTGTGCAGGGTGTACTGTGAAATGAAAACATGCAAATGAACCAGTTGAGGTTGCATAAATCAAGGAAGAGTCTCC